GGGGCTCGGTATGGGAAGGGGCCGGGCCTGGGAAAGCCAGCGGGACGTTCAGGCCGGAGTCCGAAGTTGGCAGCTAGAGGCAGACACCCACCTTCTGCAGCCCCACGCAGAAGCGGCGGAAAACCTCCTTCATGTTGCCCCCCTTCTCCATGGAGATCACGCGGAGGTGGTCCTCCTCGTTCACCCACACCAGGAAGCTCTTGTTGTCATTGTGCCTAGGGTGGGGGCGCAGCGAGAGCCAAGGAGTCAGCCCCGAGGGAACCCCATTCCCCGCCCTCTCCCGAACACCCCCCCACCCGGGGGCAGCGGCCCGAGGGCCGGGAGGTGGGTGGCACCTGCCTCCGCCACACGCAGACGCTTAAGCCTGCAGACTCTCACTTCACTGTAAAACCCCGAATCCTGGGGTCAGAAACTTTCAGGAGCTTTAAGTCTTTGAACAGCATTGAATTATAGACCCTTGGAATGTCGGTATCTTTGGCAAACAAGCTTGGACTCAGATCTGGCAAATATTGGAAATCATTCATTTGGTGTCAGGGCCAGAGAACTGTCCCATCATGTTGTGATGTCTCCTAATCCTGACATCCTAGAAACAAAGTCTTAGAAGATAAAACGTTAAGATCTGGAAATGTAAGGCTGGGTACAGTGACCCGTGCCTGTGATCCCAGCGCTTTTGGAAGCCAAAGCGGGAGGATTGCCTGAGTCCAGGAGTTCAAGACCAGCCTGGGTAACATGGCAAGACCTCGTCTCTACAATAAAATTTTAAAAATTAGCTGGGCGTGGTGGCGCACGCCTGTAGTCCCAGCTTCTCAGGAGGCTGAGGCGGAAGGATAGGCTGAGGCAGAAGGATCGCCTGAGTCCAGCAGGTCGAGGCTGCAGTAACCGTGAGCATGACACTGCACTCCGGCCTGAGTGACAGAGTAAAACTCTGACTCAGAAAAACAGGAAAAAAGAAAAAACCCTGGAAATGTTTGAAATCATGGAATCACAGAATTTGAAATGAGTGGAATTTTAAAACCTAAATATACTAGAAATCTTACAATTATCCACTCTGCAAATCTTACAACCCAGACTCTCCTAATCATTTGAGACCTAGGTTCTCTAAAACTTTTTAAACCTTTGACTACCAAAATCAGAAGTTCAAAGAGTCACAGCAAATCTAATTAGCAGTAGTAATTCATAATAAAGATAATACTAACAACCAAGATGTCCTGAGCATTTACTGCATACCAGGCACTGCTTTTGATATTTTACATAAGTTAAATCATCAAAAGGACACCAAGAGCTACAAAATATTGCAACTCTCCCCCCATCTTATAGATGGGGAAACTGGAGTAAAGTTAAATAATTTGCCCAAGTCACAAAGCTAGTGAATGGCAGAGCTGGGATTTGAATACAAGGAGTCAAAGGAGTCAAGTCTAAGTTCTGTGTGTGTGTGTGTGTGTGTGTGTGTGTGTGTCTGTCTGTTTGAGTTGGGTTCTCACTCTGTCCCCCAAGCTAGAGTGCAGTGGTACAATCATGGCTCACTGCAGCCTCAACCTCCTGGGCTCAGGCCATCCTTCCACCTCAGCCTCCCAAATAGCTGAGACTACAGGCATGAACCATCAAGCTCAGCTAATTTTTTGTAGAGATGAGGTCTCATTATGTCGCCCAGGCTGGTCTCAAACCCCTGGACTCAAGCAATCCTCCTGCCTCAGCCTCCCAAAGTGCTGAGATTACAAGCGTGAGCCACCATAAGTCTACTGGCCATCAAGTCTGCTTTCTTTTTTTTTTGAGTTGGAGTCTCACTCTGTCGCCCAGACTGGAGTGCAGTGGCCGCTCCTGGCCACAGCAGCCTCTACCTCCTGGGCTCCGGCGATCCTTCCGCCTCAGCCTTCCGAGTAGCCAGAATTACAGGTGTGCGCTACCACGCCCGGCTATTTTTTTGATTTATTGTAGAGATGAGGTCTCGCTGCCCAGGCGGGTCTCGAACCCGCGGGCTCAGGCAATCCACTCACCTCAGCCTCCCAAAGGCGCGGGATTACAGGCTGAGCCACCAAACCTGGCTTAAGTCTGCTTTCTTTTTTTTTTTTTTTTTGAGTTGGAGTCTCACTCGGTCGCCCAGACTGGAGTGCAGTGGCCGCTCCTGGTCACCGCAGCCTCGACCTACTGGGCTCTGGCGATCTTTCCGCCTCAGCCTTCCGAGTAGCCGGAATTACAGGCATGCGCTACCACGCCCGGCTGATTTTTTAATTTATTGTCGAGATGAGGTCTCGCTGCCCAGGCAGGTCTTGAACCCGCGGGCTCAGGCAATCCACTCACCTCAGCCTCCCAAAGACACGGGATTACAGGCTGAGCCACCGAGCCCAGCTTAAGTCTGCTTTCTTAATTGCGCTCCCCTGGTCCAAGTTTCCCAAAATATAACACGCAGACCACAGCACGGGCAGGGGTGAAGGGCAAGACCATTTCCTGTGACACTTGGAGGACCATAATTATGTTTACGGTCTTGACTTTGGGGGGGGTGAGGAGGGTCCCTGATGGGGAGGGGGCCTGAGGAGGCTGGGGACAAGGGGGCACCAAGGGGTGAGAGGGGTCTCACCAGATGCCGCGGGCGTCGGGCCAGTCGCGGGCCATGCCTGAGGCCAGCAGCAGCGGGGACACGGGCTTGTCAAACAGGAAGTGGTCGTCGATGAGCTGCTGCTGCTCCTGCTCTGTCATGCTCTTCAGAGGGTAGTACTTCCCCTTGAACTCGCCCGTCAGGCTGTTGAGGGCTGAGAGGCCACACGAAGGAGGGGTCAGCCGCCTGGTCCCCTTCCACCAGGGCCCGGTGACCCTCCGCTGCTACTCCTAACAGGCCTCGGCCCCACGGATGCCCTAAAGTCATCCAAACACTGTGTCTCTCCACAAAATCTGTCCTGCCCCTGTCTGCCCAGGCCCCCAGGAACCGCCATACTGCGTGCTCAAGCCAGAAAACAGACCCATCCCCGCTCAAGGGACCGTCCCATCCAGTCCACCAGCAAGCCACAGTGTGTGCTGTTGCCTGCTTCCACTAGCTGGCATGACAGATAGCCAAAGTCTCAGGGATGTGGGGACCCGCTAGCAAAAATTATTATAAAGTAATATGGTAGCCAGGTATGGTGGCATCTGCCTGTAGTCCCAGCTACTCAGGAGGCTGAGGTGGGAGGATCACTTGGGTCCAGGAGTTCAAGGGCAATCTGGGTAACATAACGAGGCTCCATCTTTCTTTCTTTTTTTTTTGAGTTGGAGTCTCACTCTGTCACCCAGACCCGAGTGCAGTGGCTGCTCCCGGCCACTGCAGCCTCGACCTCCTGGGCTCTGGCAATCCTTCCGCCTCAGCCTTCAAAAGAAAATAGTATGTATGGCGGGCGCAGTGGCTCACATCTGTATTCCCAGCATTTTGGGAGGCCAAGGTGAGAGGATTGCCTGAGCTCAGGAGTTCGAGACCAGCCTGGGCAACATGGAGAGACCTCATCTCTACAATAAATCAAAAAATTAGCCGGGCATGGTGGCATGTGCCTGTGGTTTCACCTACTTGGAAGGTTGAGGCAGAAAAATTGCCCGAGTCCAGCAGGCTGAGGCTGCGGTGGCCATGAGTGTGCCACTGCACTCCAGCCCGGGTGACGGAGTGAGACTCCTCCAACTCAAAAAAAAGTACGTATGTTATTTGTATACATTCACATGCATAAAAACATATGTATAGAATGAATATATCTGTACATATGTCTGATAAATATGTATGTATTTTTATATTAATTATAGCATATACAGTCATACCTCATTGTTTGCTCTTTGCAAATATTATATTTTTTTTGCAAATTGAAGGTTAGTGGCCACCCTGGGTTCAGCGACTATTGATATCATTTTCCCAATAATATGTGCTCACTTTGTGTCTCTGTGTCACATTTTGGTAATGACATATATTTCATTTCATTTTCATATTTTCTCACAATATTTCAAACATTCTCATTATTGTATCTCTTATGGTGATCTGTGGTCAGTGATCTCTGATGTCACTACTGTAACTGTTTTGGGGCACTGCAAACCACACCCATAAAAGATGGCAAACTTAGATAAATGTTATGTATGTTCCAGCCAGCCAGTCCTCATCTCTCCCTCTCCTCGGGCTTCCTTATTCCATGAGACACAATATTGAAATTAGGCCTGCCGGGCTCGGTGGCTCAGCCTTTAATCCCAGCACTTTGGGAGGCCGAGGCGAGTGGATTGCCTGAGCTCGTGTGTTCGAGACCCACCCGAGCAACTTGGTGAGACCTCGTCCCTACAATAAATCAAAAATTAGCCAGATTTGGTAACTTGTGACTGTAGTTCCAGCTACTTGGAAGGCTGAGGTGGAAGGATCACTGGAGCCCAGGAGGTCGAGGCTACAGTGGTCAGGAACGTGCCACTGCACTCCAGCCTGGGCAAAGGAGTGAGACTCCAACTTAAAAAAAAAAAAAAAAAAAGAGCAGGGCTCTGTAATCCCACTGCTTTGGGAGGCTGAGGTGAGTGGATTGCCTGAGCCCGCGGGTTCGATACCCGCCTGGGCAACTTGGTGAGACGACATCTCTACAGTAAATTAAAAGATTAGCTGGATTTGGTGGCGCATGTCTGTAGTTCCAGCTACTTGGAAGGCTGAGGCAGAAAAATCACCTGAGTCCTGCGGGTCGAGTCTGCAGTGGCCGTGAGCATGCCATTATACTGCACTCCAACCTGGGTGACAGAATGAGACTCCTACTCAAAAAAAAAGAGTAATGCTAAATCTACTCTGTCTGTGCCCTATAAATAGAACGACAAACTCTGGATGACAGCACATGTGTCAACAGCACGGTTTACTGCATATTTTAAGCCCACTATTGAGACCTACTGCTCAGAAAAAAAGATTCCTTTCAAAATATTTCTGCTCATTGACGATGCACCTGGTCACCCAGAAGCCAGATGCCCAGGGAGATAAATGTCATTTTCATGCCTGCCAACATAACCATTCTACAGCCCATGGTTCAAGGAAGAATTTTGACCTTCACATCTTACTATTCAAGAAATACATTCTGGCCAGGCTCGGTGGCTCAGGCTGTAATCCCAGCACTTTGGAAGGCCGAGGTGAGTGGATTGCCTAAGCCTACAGGTTCAAGACCAGAGTGGGCAACTTGGCAAGACCTTGTCTCTACAATAAATGAAAACTTAGCCAGGCATGGTAGTGCGTGCCTATAGTTTTGGCTGCTTGGATGGCTAAAGTGGAAGGATCACCCGAGCCCAGCAGGTTGACAATGGGGTGGCCATGAACGTGCCATTGCACTCCAGCCTGAGCAACAGAGTGAGACTCCAACTCCAAAAAAAAAAAGAAATACATTTCGAGCTCAGGACAATGACACATGCCAATAGTCCCAGCTACTTGAGAGACTGAGACAGGGGGGTCACTTGAGGTCAGGAGTTTGAGTCTGTAGTGTGCATTATTGCACCTGTGTGTGGACACTTTACTCCAGCCTAGGCAACATAGAGAGACCTCATCTCAAAAAAAAATTTTTTTTTATTTAAAAAAATGCATTATGACCGGGCTCGGTGGCTCAGCCTGTAATCCCAGCACTTTGGGAGGCTGAGGTGAGTGGATTGCCTGAACCCGCGGGTTCGAGTCCTGCCTGGGTAACTTGGTGAGACCTCATCTCTACAATAAATAAAAAATTAGCTGGGTGTGGTAGCGTGCGCCTGTAGTTCCAGCTACTTGGAAGGCTGAGGCGGAAGGATCGCCAGAGCCCAGCAGGTTGAGCCTGCGGTGACCAGGAGCAGCCACTGCACTCCAGTCTGGGCAACAGAGTGAGACTCCAACTAAAAAAAAAATAAAAATAAAAAAATAAAAATAAACAATAAATAAATAAATGCATTTTGTAAGGTTCTAGCTGCCATAGATAGTGATACCCCTGATGGATCTGGGCAAAGTAAACTGGAACCTTCTGGAAAGGATTCACCTTCACTCATGAGAGGTCAAAATGTCAACCTTAACAGGAGTTTGGAAGGAGTGGATTTCAACCCTCACAGACGACTTTGAGGAGTCCAAGACTTCAGTGGAGGAAGTCACTGCAGACGTGGTAGCAACAGCAAGAGAACTAGAATTAGAAGCAGAGCCTAAGCCAGGTGTGGGCTGGCTCACACCTGTAATCCCAGCACTTTGGAAGGCAGAGGCAAGAGGGTTGCCTGAGCCCAGGGGTTCAAGACAGCTCGGGCAACTTGGCAAGACCTCATCTCTACGATAAATAAAAAAATTAACAGGTGCATACCTGTAGTTCCAGCTACTTGGAAGGCTGAGGCGGAAGGATCACGTAAGCTCAGCAGGTTGAGGCTGCGGTGGCCGTGACCATGCCACTGCCCTCCAGCCTCTCACAGAGTGAGAGTCCAACTCAAAAAACAAAAGAAAAAAAAATCTACTCCTGGGGAAAATGCTATGAACAATGTTGACATGACAACAAAGGAGTTAGGATATTCCATAAACTTGGATGTTGGAGTAGCAGCAGGATTTGAAAGGATGGATTCCGTTTTTGTTTTTGTTTTTGTTTTTTGAGTTGGAGTCTCACTCTGTCGCCCAGACTGGAGT